CCAGGTGGCTTGTGGCAAACTTTAGAATTTTTATGCAAATCTTTTAGAAATGGATTTCTTCCATAAAGGCCAGATTTTTGCAGTATACAGCTGATTGTTGTCCTATGGACAGAGTGTCCCACCTCAGTTGTAGATTTCTGCAGTTCCCCCCCGAGGAATCATGGGCCAATTGGCTGCATCTCTTATCAGTCATCTCCTCATTTGAGCTAAAAGTTTAAAAGGATGGGCGGGGCTTCATAGATTTACATTGGTCTAATACTTCTTCTCTATCAATATTAGTGCTTCCACAGTGCTCCTTGGGATGTCTAAAGCTTGGGAAATAGTTTTGTATCCAAATACAGCTTTAAACTTCTCCACAATGGTATCTCAGCTCTGCTTGATGTGTTCCTTGTTCTTCATGATGCTCTCTGCGCTTTAAACAGACCTCTGAGACGATCACAGAGCAGGTGCATTTATATGGAGACTTGATTACACACAGGTGGATTCTTGTTATCATCATCGGTAATTTAGGCCGATATATTTTACACGCTTAAATTTCGTTCCACTACAAAAAATTTATAAAAAATGATAATTTTACATCTTTAGGTTTGAAGCCTGAAATGTGGCAGAAGGTCAATAAGTTCAAGGGGGCTGAATACTTCTGCAAGGCACTGTATAAATGAATGTGTATTTATATATATATATACATATATATGTAAATAAATAAACCCTACTATTGTAATATGTCAGTTTTATTAATATTAAAATAAACTTACCTTGCCTTTTATACTAATTTCAGACGTTTATTTATGTACAGGTTTGATCTTCTTTCCATAACACATTGAAATCACAGTAAAGCACACACAGTTTTGCAGCTGCAATGTGACAACATGTAAAAAAATATATATATCTAAAGAGAATGAATGCTTCTTCTGCAAACAGCCAGTCCAAATTTGCTCTGACCTATAACTGTGATGTTCCTGAGGTCTGACAGTGAAGCAGGTTGGACCACAGAGATGGAGCCCTCTGTTAGCAGCAGAGCCTGGGTTGAATCTGCAGCATCTGCTCAAAGACACATAAATATCAACCAAACACTTCTTCTCTTCTCCAAGTAGACACTTGGAGAAGAATGAACCTGTGTGTTTCATACCAATGATGTTAGCAAGTCTTTGACAGATAACTGCATCTTTAGAGCAAACCGCGCAGGAAGCAGGACATGATGGGACACGCTGGGCTTTAACAACTGACAGCAGGAGTATCAGCAAAACACCTGCAGACAAATTCAAAAATCTGTGTAAACTCTTCTGTCATTTTCCACTTCATTGTTTCTGGCATTTTGCTGTGAAGGAATCCTCACAGGTCATTGTGTGCTACAGAAGATCCAACATGAAGATGAGGCAGCATCTCTTCCACATGGCTGTCACGCGATACAGCTTCATTACCGTCACAATCATTATCTGTTTAATCTGAAAGCACATTGTGAAAACACTGGGAATTATATCTTTGTACAACTAAAAGTGTAAAACCTCCTGAAAATAAACAAAAGTTGATCAAAATCAGCTATTTGCTATTTGAACTGAGAAAGGTGCTGCACCGTTATGGAAATAATTTAAAGTGAGAGTTTTTATTGATGAAATACAATAAATAAATGCTCCTATGCTGTTAAAAAAAAACCTCTCTCAGGCATTGTGCGCAGGGCTTTCTAGCTGTAATTTGAATATTTCAATTAAGTGTTTAAAGATTCATAAGACCAATTTCTGAGAACGTTTCTGTTTTGTTGCTAGGCAGACAAACAGGACACCAACAGGACAACCAAATACTGAAGCTAATAGAGGCCTATTGTGCTTCTGCTGCAGCTCCTTTCTCTCACAGTGTGACATGATAAAGACGTTTGTGTTACTTTGCAGAACCATCCATCAGGACCAGAGAAAAGCAGCTACCTTATCACAGTGTAGTATCTTTACATCCAAACATAATAAATGTATTTAATCTTTTTAGACTTCACCCAGGCAGCTTTACTGACAAATATAGAAAACGGTTTGAGTCAGTCTTCTCCCTTCATCGTTGGCATGAATTTCAGAGTGAATAGAATGATCATAAAACAGACTGCATGTATTAAAAGGAGAAGTGGGTCTGAATTAATGTGGAACCACATATTTATTTTTAAAGAGAGTTTACAAAAGTGACAGCTCTTTCTCTTTTCTGACCTTTAACTCAGTTTGAGATGTTGGCTTTTTTGGGTTTTTTATTATTTGGGTTATTCATCTGCTTTTTTTTTTTTTTAGATTTAATCATAATTGTTTTAATTTCAGCTGAACAAAGGTGGCGAAAGATTGGACTCCTCATTGAACACCACATTAAAAACGTCTGCAATGACATTGCAAAATATTTTTGGTGAGAAAATACAGGGTATTAGAAAAGCAGTCTTTGGCTAAGAGATCTTACCTCTGTATTGCACATGGAGAAAATCCGATATGCCATGACGGACAGTCTTAAAAAATTCTATAAGATTTGGCAACCATTCATGGACCATCTTGCTCAATTTGATGGAGACCTTGAACAATTTTGAGACTCATAATGAGCCATTCACCTCTTCTTTAATAAAGTCTGTTTTGATTTAAAGTATCAGTGATGCAACAGCATATATCATCATCTTGAATAATACGCCCTGTATCTCCCTGTTATTTTGTTTTATGTCTGTTTATTTATTTGTTTTCTTTTTTCTTTTTTTTTTATTACATAGACATGTGTTATTTCTAATTTATGTTCCATTGTACCAAACTATTTGGAAAACTCTTAATAAATATACTGCCCAATATTCTACCCAATAAACTGCAAGAATTTAGAAGAAACTGTTCAGCAGCTGAACTCCTTTTCCTGCTGTCTTGATGTTTTACCTACAGGTTTAATTAAGGTTTTAGAGTCTGATTTGATTCAAATAAACACATCCCTTATGTTAGGTGTTTTCACTGAGCCTTAAAAACAAAAATGATCAAACCATTGTTAAAAAGAGAGGCTTGGACAAATTGGTCCTTCAGAACTACAGACCTATCTTAAACCTCCCCTTAAACAGTAGGATTATTGAAAAAGATGTATTTCAACCGCTAAATACCTTTTTAACAATGAGTAGCTGCATTGATGTCTTCCAGTCAGGTTTCCGTGCCAACCACAGTACTGAGTCTGCCCTTATTAAGTTTTTCAATGACATCCATTTAAATTCAGATTCTTGAAAAAACACAGTGCTGGTATTACTGGACCTCAGTGCAGCTTTTGATACTGTTGATCACTTGAATTTCATTAGAGCATCTGGAAAACAGGGTCAGCCTTTCTGGTACAGCCCTGGACTGGTTTAAATCCTGCCTGAAGGACAGGGAGCTCTGTGTATTAGTAGGGAATTTTAAATCAGCAGTGGTGTCAAAAGTACACACATTTGTTACTTAAGTAGAAGTATAGATACTGCAGTTTAAAAGCACTCTGGTAAAAGTTGAAGTATAAACTGAGCAAGTACAAAAACTACTTAAAGTATAAAAGTATAAAGTAACATTTAAAAAAGCAGCCAGATGCCACTATATGAATTGAAAGCTAAATTTTTCGACTATATTGAAAAATTATTTGAGATAGGACCAAGGATGAGGGATGTCTTGTTGGTCTCCATCTCCTGATACGCTCTCGCCTGTGTCCGACCTTTCAGACATTTCGACATCTTTTTCTGAATCCGACATTGTAGCATGGCATAGACAATTCACGATTGCAGTTTGAAGAACACCTGCTTGCTTGTGATAAATTTCCTTTAGCTAACCAATGAGTGTTTGCGTTATATGACTCATCCAATGACACTAGTTTTCTCTAGATGTGGATGGAGCTAATGATCTGCATTGGATGGCTCACATGACGTGAAATAAATATCTATAAACATTAAACCGAAGCCAAGAGTAATTTGTAACATTTGTTTTAAAAATGTAAAGAATAGAAAGTACAGATACTTGTGTAAAAACGTAATAAGTAGAAGTCAGAGGTATAAAAAAAAAAAGTAATAGGGTAGAGTATAGATACCTAAAAATTGTACTTAAGTACAGTAATGAAGTATTTGTACTTTATTTCGTTACTTGACATCTCTCTAAATCAGAGACCACAAAAATCCCATTCGGGGTTCCTCAAGGCTCCATTCTGGGAACCCTCTTATTCAACATCTACATGCTTGGCTCAGGTTTTAGGAAACAACCAGATCAGTTACCATAACCATGCAGACGACACACAGATTTACATCACAATGTCACCAACCCTCTAATAGGTTCACCTATTAGAGGGTTGGGTAGATGCAGATATATATGGATGCACCAAAATTTTCTCCAACAGTATAAAAAAACAAACTGAGATAATAATCTTCAGACTAACGGAGGAGAGACTCAGAGTTTGCTCACAGCTTCAGCTACTACAGCTAGAAACCATTGATTATGGCCAAAATCTTGGTGTCATAATTGACTCAGACCTGAACCTTCAGATGCACATAAATCCTGTTAGTAAGTCAGCCTTTTATCACCTGAAGAACATTTCCAGGATTAAAGGACTAATGTCCAAGCAGGTTCTAGAAAAACTAATTCATCCATTCATCTTCAGTAGAATTGATCACTGCAACAGTGTCTTCACAGGTTTGCCTAAAAAGTTCATCACAAAGCTGCAGCTGATCCAGGATGCTGCTGCCCATGTTCTCACTAGAACTAAGAAAGTAGAGCACATCAAGCCTTTTCTGAAGTCCTTCCAAGGCTCAATGAAGCTCAGAGAATAGACTTTAAAATCCTTCTGTTAGTCTTTAAATCACTGAATGGATCAACACCTCAATACACATTTGTTCTCAGTGTATCAACCTCCCATACTACTCAGGTCCCTAGTTCAAGGCTACTCTGTCCACTCAGAACCAGGGGGGGTATTTGCCATTAGGCAATGCCAGGCAGTTGCATATCTGTTTACATGTATAGTTAATACAACTATTCCTTATTTGTGCACATTAATTTTGTTTTTGATAAAAATCCTTTCACCAAAATGCCATCAGAACCTTTATAATATTAAGTGTGAAGAGCAGTGTTGCGTACTTAGAGCTTTTATTGCTATATTTAGCAAATTTTCAGACCCCTCTAGCGCTTTTATTTTAAAAAAGCGGCTAGTGCCAAATCTAGCTACTTCTTTCTGCTACTGGAGACTTTGGCGACAACATATAAAAGCACCGAAATCTGCTCTCCAGAGTAAGTAGATTGGTAACCCCGCCTCCTACTCTCCTCTATCTTGCCTGCTGTCATGATTCATGCAGGTATTATTCATACAAATGAAAAACTGAGAACAGATAAGTAGATCATGGATTTTCTACAGTAAAAAGAAGGAATGTGTTATTTACTTTTGCCGTCGCCTTTTTGGAAACACAGGAAGGAGCAATCAGATAAGTGAGCTTAGTAATTGGAAAAAATCTTTCATTGCTTTTGAGAGAACGAAAAGTTAGCTGAGTGCAAAGCATAGAGAGGAAAACAACAAGAAAAGGGACAAGAAGAGAGGGACGAAACACATAACAAATAATGTATGTCTATTCTTTTAAAATTTCTGTATCTGTATAATGGGTCTGTTTTATGTGTTATCTTCTCAATTCAGAGGGCCCCATGCTTGTTTTTGACTAGAGCCCCAAATTCCCTAAATCCACCCCTGCCCAGAACTTGAACCAAACATGGAGAAGCAGAATTTAGTTCCTATGCTGCACTTATCTGAAACAAACACCCAGAAGACTGGAAAAGAGTTGAAAGCCTGAGTTCTTCTCATTCAAATTTAAAGACCCATTAGTTTAGAAATGCTTTTGACTGTTATACTCCAAATGTTTAATTTGTTTTACTCATGTTTCTATCTTTATTTGCTTTTATTCTGCTTTTATTTTTTATTCTATTTTATTATCTGACTACTGTAAAGCGCTTTGAATTTTTCATGTACTATATTGTGCTATATAAATAAATTTGCCTTTATTTTTTATGTAATATATTTCTTGGTCTATGAGCTTTAAGGGCGTATAAAGTACTCTGGCCAACTGAGTTTTACTTCAGGTGCTATAGATATAAAGCTAAATTTAGGTCTCAAATACACATATACATGTTTGAGTTCTCTTGTGTACATGTTTTTATTATATTATTTGTTGTCTTGGCTTCTTTAGTTTCATTTTCTTATTTTTATTATATCTTCATTATTTTGTGTTTCACAATTCTTTCACCATTTAGTTTTATTGACTTTTTATTGACACCGAATTGATTCTCCTCCCTCAATCATTCAGACAGCACCCTCCGCATCTTTTTACTTTATTGCAGTAATTCCCACGGGCTCCACTGCACCACAGCATGTCAGACGACCAAAAAGAGGGTGGCTGTCTGGATGCATGAGCAGATATTCCATGCATTTATGTCAACTGCCGTAAAACACATTTTGAGATGGTTGACAGAGCAGTGGAACATAGTCTGCATGAATTCAGCACAATTTGTCTGCTTAATTAGTTCTCTCTTCTTTGCCTGCAACTCATTCCCTCTAATTAGGTATTTTGATTTCCCTTTCTTTTCTCTACCCCTGCATCAATGTATATAGACTATGTGGTTATTTTTGTTTTCCAAAGGATCCTTCCGTGACCATGCCTTTTGATAAAAATATCCTTTTTTTGGGGTGGTCCCCTTCTCAAGCTTTGTATCCACTTGTACATTTTTATTAGTTCTGTCTATTTTTATGTATTATTCTGTGATGATGCATGGGTCCTTAAAAAAAACATGACAATGCACCCCCTTAAATGGCTGCATATTGTTTGAAGCTGCAGAGGCATCAGTTCATACATTTTTTTAAGTGAGATACCTAAAAACCACCATGATCCCAGCTGATAATAAAATAAGAAATTGATCATAAACACTATAGTTTACCTCAACAAAGACAAGGCTTTCGCTGAGAAAGAAAAAAAATGACACCCCATTGAATAATATAGCTGCCTATGGACAGGTGAAAGAGAGAAGTTTTATAATTAATTCCCAAGTGTCCACCATAGTAGTGGTAGCATCATGCTGAGGATCCTCCCCAATATTTGCACTGCTGGAATGTTGCAAAAAATAATAAAGTTGGTGGAATCTTAAATTCTGCAATTTAACATGAGATTAAACAGCTGTAGGGTTAAATGTGGGACTTTCTAACCCAGAATTAGTCCAGAAGCTACTAAATGGCTCTGTAGTTTTTCAGCATTTATTCAAACATTAGTGACAGTTGATGTTTACATCGAGGCCGTGTTTGTTATTTTGATCATGGGTTGATTTAGGAAAAATGCAAACATTCAAATGTTTTTTGTTATTTGTTACAGTCTTATATTCCTGGGCATAGTTAAAAAACCATTCTTAATATAATCAAACTGCAATAAGAAAACAGTGAAAAGCACAATGATCTCATTGCATCATGCATGCAGCCTATTTACACATAGAGAGGAAATACCAAAGAAACGAAAGAATCTGTTTATGAGTTCTAGAATTATCTGATACGGTGGAAAAAAAGCTTGCTGTTAATCGTGTCTGTTTGGTAAAATATGACCAAAAGCACTCTGTGAATGCATAACTCTGACCATGATGCGCTCATAGACGATTACTGTGCTGCAAGAAATAAATAACATATGTTTTGGAGACGGTATGTGTGGGAATGTTCATAAACACGGGCTGACTTAAGAAAACACCCAGTCTGAAAGTTTGGAGCAAAAAAAAAATCTGATCTAAAGCATGCTGCCAAAACAAGACAAGAATTTCTGAGGAGAAAAACAGAAAATTAAAGCTCAGGTAATTATGTTGCCTGACGAAGAACACCTCTGAGGTTCGTCTCGGAGAAAAATGTAGTTTAAAACATCCCCTTGGAGAAAAAAAAGTCCTTAAAACATTTAAGCCTCAGAAATGATTTTGCAACATCAACGTTATTCATGCCAGGAAGAAACACACATTTCTTCATCAAAATAAGATTAAAGGTTTGTGAAACATCCAAGCATGAATCTTTTTTCATCTGAGTTTTTGTGGGCTGACTCTTCCTGAAATCCTTATTTAGGTTAAATCTAATTTCTTGTTTCACATCTTTCCTTCATTTATTTTTATTTTTCCTCTGCATATTGTTATTCATTTTTGTCCTCTTTACACTTTAAACATACAGAAATAAACTCCAACCATACAACTAATAAATATAAGAATACATATTGACAGGAACACTTTAATAAGATATTTTACCTATAAGGTTCACCTTTTAACCTTATTTAATTCATATCCCTAGCAGACTTAGCTTTAAGCTAAGAGAGTACGCTTTTGTTTAAACAAACATTCAGCCATTCAGGACATAAATCTTATAGAGAATCTGCAGAATGATCTATAGATTAGTGTGGAGGTTCTCAACAGGGGGTTCATGACCCCTATGGGGTCCACAGAGGTACTGCATGGGGGCCACAAAATTTTTGGCTGATTAGACTTTTTTTTATATCCCCCCTGCAATTTTTCTACTAATTGAAATGTCTTTAAATCCACATTAACATGAATTCAACACACTTTAGTAAACAGATAAATGGAGGCAGAACATCTCTTTCAGTCTTCAATGCACACATTCAGCGGCACACAGGAGCTCTTTCAAGCTGGGCACCGTTTCATTTGCAACACCTGTCCCATCAACTAGGAATCAGAAATACTTAAATAATCCCAGGGAGAAAATATTTTCGTTACATGACTCCATCTGTAATAGAGTGACTATAGGACCAGTTTGATATAACACAATTTCATGCAATATGCAATGTTATATATAATTAGGGGGTCCCCGCTCCATCTCACCATCAGTTTGGGGTCCTTGGCATGGAAAAAGTTGAAGGCCCCTGGATTAGGGTAATGGCAAGGAGGTCTTCTAAGATTGAAGACTGAAAGTTTTTCAGCTAAAGATAAATCATCATCATCATCATCATCATCATCATCATCATCATCATCATCATCATCATCATCATCATCATCATCATCATCATCATCATCCTGATCCCAGCAGATACATACAAAACGCTGGAAGAGGTTGATTAATGTAATTCCTATGAACATTGTCTATTGTTTTTTTTTGTTGTTGTTGTTTGTTTTTATTCTGCTTTTATTTTTCTTCTATCTTATTATCTAATTCATGTAAAGCACTTTGACGTGTCCATGAACTAAATCGTCTGATACAAATAAAATTGCCTTGCCTTATTGATAATTGAAAAAAAAATCTTTGAAATGTCATTTTTACTAAAAATATCCTTTTAATAAAAAATTAAAAAATTAAACTCAAATTGGCACTTCATTTCCATTGGTTTGTTTTCTGTCCTTTAAGATGTGCTGGTCTAGTATCTCTGGTTGATATCATTTTTAATATAAATTGGTCCAGTGTATGAATAACTGTGGGTTTTGAATGTATTATAATGCCTGTTTTTAGTTGGATTGTGGACATTTTATTATGTTCTTTGGCTGCTTTTGACAGTGGCTCTGTAGCTTTTGCACTTTTTTCAGTCATTTCCTGTAATGGAAGCCTTTCTAATTTTTTTTACAGACTTGTAGGTTTTTGCGGCATCTAAAAATCCACTTCCTGTTTTCACATTGGCTAGAAAGGTTAGAAGAGAGAGAAGACTTCTTAGTCTGTTTGTCTTTATCAGCACATCTCAATCAGAAAGTTATGTTCTATTTTAAACCAATTAAAAAATATGTATTTTTGGTAACTTGAATAACCTTTTTTTTATTACAAGATAAATGAAGAAAACTTTCAGTTTTCCAAGGATGCACATTAGTAGTTAGGCGAGCACAGGAATAATCTAAACAGAAAGAGTTCCACATATGAGAAAAAGGTTTTTCATTTTTAATGATTATTTCTTTTTTGAGTACATGCAGTTAATTAGTCAAGTTTCTCTTTGTTTAGAGGTAATAACATTTCTAAAAAAAAAAAGTTCCTGAACCCACTCAGTTTATTCTTTTTTTTTTACTTTTATGTCAGCAGGTTCTCTTTTATTGTTAATCTGCAAACTAAAACATTAATAAAAATGTTTTCACAGCTTTGGTGGACGTTGTTAGAAATGAAAAGGTATGATATATGTGGGTTTATAGGCATGTGGTAAATAAAGCTCACTGTTTTTACCCCAAACAGACTTCCTAGATGCTTGATAAAGGTTTTAAATCATGAGGTTGTTTCTATCTATAAGCTGCCAGATTTAAAGACATATAAATCTATCTTTGCCACTCATTCTAATGGCAGCTTTGACATCCGCAAAACAAAGACTAAAATATATTAAGTTTTCTCAAATACTAAACAGAGCTTTAGATGAAAAAGTAAAAATATTTTTCTGCCTATCCTACAGAAAATATTTTATCTTCTATGCTACTAATCCCAATAAGAATAGAAGTTATTTTTGATCATCATTTGATGAGATTCCGACTGCTTACCTTTTTGATTACAATGCAAAGCCCTCCACAGCTGAAGATAGTTATAAGTCACATACCGGTCCATTAGAGCAACATGCATGTCTGACAGCTGGATTAAAACCAGTTGTTATTAACTGGTTGCCACAGAGCCCTGAGCATGTTTGGGGTGTGTGTTGGGTTACCTGACTGGCTTCTGAGCATGCTCAGCAGGGCTAAATGTCACCTGAGAAACCCAGGTGTCATGTCCGCCTCAGAGGGGAGCCTTGGACTCATGAGAGCCAATCCTGTGTTAAGCATCATCAGGTTCTGTGGAATGCAAGCATTTACTTTCATTAATTTATTAATTCATGATTCACGGCTAATACGAGTGTTTGAAAAGAAAAAAAGTCTAAATGCAAGATATAAATGTAGCAGTAAAACTTCCTGAATCCTGTCTCTGGGACTTTTCCATATTTTAATGTTACAGCCACAGCCCTTTATGTAATGGGTTGTGTGCACCTTTTATAAAATTACACAAAGAAGAGGGAAGTTTTCATTTTTTTCTTCCAATCACATTCAGAAATTTGTGGCATACATTTTTATTTAGCCCCCGTACTCATTGGCTGCTGTACTAAAAACAACTCCTACAAAGTGCCTTAAAAGTGCCATATTATTTTAAATTTGTAAATAAAATACTGTATATTATCACTGAAGATGCTGTTTGTGCAGGAAAATTCCTCTCAGATTAGGTAGATTGGCTTCACAAAATAATCTTTTATTCATTCAGCCATCCTCTGGGTGAGCTGCCTTTCCACACCCCTGTCCTCCCGAAGGCCACACCCCGAAAATCTGCAACCATGACAACCTGTCAGTTTGTAAAGATAGCCTAAGAGCACAACATAATGCATTAGATGAAGGCCATAGATTGACCTTATGACATCATAAGGGGAATGCTTTTCAAGCAGAGCATTTTCAGCACACATTAGCCAAGAGGTGGAGAAAGGCAGTTATAGAGGTGAAAGGGTCTTCTTCATTTGTGAATCTCATACACAGGCTTCAGGAAACATAAAACTGTTACAAAATGTTTATAATGTGAAATTTGCATAATACGGGATCCTTTAATAGACATCTTCCTTGCGATTTGATCCAAGTGTGTCGTCTGTTCCTGTTTGGCTGTGATACCTGGTGCTGCTGCTATCCACACTTTTGTTTATAGATGTTGGAGATCGGCCTGTTTTTCACCGTAGTCCTGTTTCTCTGTGACTGTCTGGATGTGCTCTCTTCATCCACTGACATGAGAGCTGGCTTGGAGCTCGCCTGGCTGGCTGTGTGTTTCCTGGATGGGGCCGCCTTTTACAGCTGCTTTTTGTATCTCTGCTTCCATCTCCTTGAACCCCAGTCGGCCTCAGCAGATGGCCGCTCACACTGAGCCTGGTTCTTCCTGTTAAAGGGGAGTTTTTCCTCTCCACTGTCGCTACAAGCATGCTTAGTGTGAGGGATTGCCTTCCAGTCAATAAGTCGATGCAATCAACTTAGGGTTAGGGTTAGATTTTTCCTTAGATAGAAAACTTTGAATCAATTTGACTGTACGATCTGGTTGAACTGTAAAGTGCCTTGAGATGACGAGTTGTGAACTGGCGCTATATAAATAAAATGAATTGAGTTTAAATCCAAGCAGCATCATAAAAACCGAAGAACACAGCAGAACGGGTGGGGTTTAAGTTCAGAAACAATATCCTAAATAAATCCTAAACATCTCATGAAGCTACAAGATATAGTTTTTGGGCCAAAATGCTTCAGGTGCCAGAAGTCTAATACTGCACATCCCGCTGAAATCAATAATTCCCATGGTGACGCATAAGGATGGCAGCATCATGCTGTGTTAGGTAGGAAGAGTTGGAGCTAAATGCAGGGCAATGCTGAAAAAATAACATTTTTGTGGATGAAAGACTTGAGAATAGATAGGGGAATGTTTTCCTTTCAGCAGTATATAAATCCTAAAGATACAGAAAAAATACAATTCATCCAATCTGTGGCAAAACGTTAAAATCAGTGTTCAGAGTCTCTCTAAATACTGTGACAGCTTTTGCAAAAAGCATTGTGCAAATCTAGAGACATCTAGTCTCTCGATGTGCAAAGATGGTAAAGACTTAACTACTGTGAACGCTGGGTCTGAGCATTTACTCAGGGGATGAATGCATCATTCTTCAGATAGGCATTAGAGACACATTTTGAAAAATACATATTTTTATCTCTCCCACTACACAATGATGAAATTCTTAGTTTAAATCTGTCACATTATAGTGCAATAAAACACAGTGAAGCTGTGGCCATAATGTGATATTAAAAGAATTCCAAAGGGGTGTGAATACTTTTGTAAAACCACAGCTCTTAAAATACAAACAAACAGATGCTGGTGGAAGAAATGGGCTTTACGTGTCAAAATCTACAGCCTCATTTAAACCCATCCTTTCTATTCATTCCAGTTATCAGCCTTACCATAACATGGACCTTATGAAAAGTATGCGTTCAGCTTAATTTATCCCTGATTCTTAACAAGGTGTTTCTGTGTTGAACAGGCTTCAAAATTATTCTGCATAAGTTAAAAAACATCTAATGTGAATTGGCAGCTGTTTGAGCTCTCTGCAGGAGTACTGTTATATTTAATAAATTCAGCTTTGCACTCCAAAGGGACTCGGTTTTCAGATTAAAAGTACCTTTTGAAGAATAACAGCCATTTTCATTTAGTCAATATTTCAGTATTTTAATTAATATATATTTTATATTTTTATTGCTTGAAGGAAATATTCAATATTTTGTTTATTTATATAAAAATCATCATAATTATAATAAAGTTTTAAAAAATCATGTAATTTATCTTTATGACATGTTTCACATTATAATTAGATTTCTTCTTTTATTTTTTTTATTGAACATTAATATATTCGATCCTCCCTGAATTGACCCTTACTCTAGTAAATCACTATATTACATCGTCAGAACAATTTTCCCAGCTGCCCCGGGACTCTCGATGATGTCATGGTGGGCCTGGGCAGCCTTCTCCAGCGGGTACTGGGCACCAACAACAGGGCGCAGCCATCCAGCCTCCATCCCAGCAAAGAGCAGCGCTGCACACTCCTTCTTCTCCTCCTGACAGGACACATCATAAATGTTTCATTACTGGTGTCGGCGAGCAATGTTGTTGGATTCCTAATTGTCATTACGTTTAACTACAGATTTTTTAGATGTATCTACAAAAAGTTAGAACATTGAGGACAATACCGGTGTGGAGAAGAAAATGGCTACTCCCATGATGCTGCTCTCTTTGACCATGGTGTCTCTGGGGTTGATCTCTATAGGGCCCCTTGAACCAACAACCTACAGGAAAAAAGAAACTAGAAATAAACGAAAAAATACATTTCAGGATATAAAAAATATTGCTGAATCTGCTGAGAGCTTCAAACCAAGTTTAAAGCCCACAGAGACAGTTATAACCCAGGCACAGGGACCCTAAAGTGAAACCCTGCAGACCGTGACTCGTCCTCCGTAGGCCAGCAGCTGGAGGTCTTTGCTGAGGTTGACGTTGGACAACATCTCCACGATCACGTCCACACCCCGGCCCTCTGTGGCCTCCTGGAAACCACAAACACACACCCCAGTGGTTCTGTATCCATTACAGTGCAGCATAGAGATCTGATCTTCAAAAAATAAAAAAAAACTAAGAAACAAAGTCTAATTTTTGGCTAAAGTTTCAAATCATCAATCAAATTCTTGTATCTAACAAAGGAAACCCAAGATCAAAGTATTTTTTATGAATATTCTATCAAAGGACCAATCCAAATAGTTTAAGTGAAAATATTCCTCTTGTTCTTGTTGAATGATGAATTAACTTTGATTAACCACAGTTTTGGTTTGTGGGAAACTAAACCACGTGTAATAATTGCCCAACCTGTTAAAAAAAAAAAATGAAGAAATCACTTTTACAGAAACCCGACTGACTGCATGAAGCACAAGATCTTAAAAAACAACATTATAGAATCTAAAGAAATTCAAGAATTATTAGTTATACAAGAATAGAAAACAAGGAACTAAGACATCATTAGGAGTTCATCGACCGCTTAAGGAGGTCATAAGAGAAGCAGAACAACGGTAATCACTGCAGATATTTCTGTTCAAATATCAAATATATCATACTAACGGTATGAAAAATGACTTTTAAATAAAGTTTGATTTAAGGTCAGATAGGAGTGAGAAAAAATGGCACCTTAGAAGGCCGTAAACAATACTGAAACTTAATCCCACAAACTGATGAGCCCCAAGATTTTAGGTAGAATGTTCTATAAAAAGCCTGACAGTCAAACATGGTGGCGGCAGTGTGATGGTTTCCCTAGGATCTCAATCCATGGGTTTTGTGATATGCAGCAGCATTGCTCCAAGCATTTTTTGAAGGGGACTGTGTCCAAGTCTGGACTTAAATACGATTTCAATGTGGCATAGCCCTGACCAGGCCATTGGCGCCCCGAAATACCCCCAATATAGTTAAATTAAAACGATCCTGCAGAGAAAAGCCATGTCAAAGACTCATTACTAATTTGCACAGATTCTTGATGGCTGTTCTTGGCACCATAGGGGGTAAAAGCAGTTACTAGGATTAGACAGAAACTACAATACTTTTTCATTTAAGATTGCAAGACGTTTTTTTTACATATATATATATATATTATATTATAATTCAAAAAATTGCTTTCTGGATTTACTAAGATGTTTATATGCTGTTAAAATATGTTTGACGATCTGAAAATTTAAGTGAGAGGAAAAAGTAAAACCTGAAGAATTCAATAAGGGCATTTTGAAAACATGGTGCGACTTGCGAGTCCATCCTGTGTGGGTCAGTACCAGGATTTTATCCATATATCCCTCTTCTCGATGATTAAAAGCCAAGTGGGCTCCATTGCCAAGGGCCAGCTTCATCCCTTCAGGTGTCCCCGCCGTCCCCAGCACCCTGAGGCCCAGAGCCCGGGACAGCTGGCACGCCGCCACGCCCACCTGTTAGTAATATTTCATATTATCTTTACAGTAACAATAGAAATACAAACACACAATCATATCCTATTATTAATTTTTATTTTTTATTTTATCTTTAATTTTAATTTTTATATACTCTAATAATCCCAGAGGGAAATTACTTCTCTGCATTTAACCCATCCCCTTGGGGAGCAATGGGCAGCCATTGTGCAGCGCCCGGGGAGCAGAAAGGGGAGTGGTGGTGGTTCTGGAGCTTGAAATCCTGAGGTTGTGAGTTTGAAACCCACTCACAAAGCCAATCTTGTTCTCTAAGCAAGACCCTTAACCCCCGATTGCTCCCTGGGCGCCGCACAATGGCAGCCCACTGCTCCCTGACGGGATGGGTTAAATGCAGAGGTAAATTTCTCCAATGGGAGATTAATAAAATTCAATTATTATTATCTGTAAGACTAAATATCAGCAGATTAGAGGCACAAATATTAAATACATGTTCAGCTTTACTTTTTAACTGATTATAAAAGTAGAAAATCGTTACAAATATTTATATTTACGAAAACCTGGGGACACACAAAGACAAGAACATGCATTCCTCTGAGATGCTTGGTCACAGGTAGGAATTCTGGAGCTAATTCAGACATGACATCCTAATGCCTTTACTTTATAAATTCCCTATTTTTTAGCTAAATACTGGTGAAAAACTGGTCTGTACTGAAGATAACCTACAGTGCAAGACTTTAAACTACAATGTTTGACAAAAGCTTTAAACAAAAAATGTACAAAAAGAATAAAAAATTATCCCTCTCATTGTAGACGCCATTACATTAGACTTTTATTCAAAAGCTGTTTACCTATAAGTGAGTTTGCTCTGATTACATGTCTGCATATAAACCACTCTGTTGGACTAGTACTTAAAGCAAACACTGCCCCCTAATGGCCACATGCTTTATCTGCATCAGAGAGCAAAGCTCAGCTGCTGGAGAGAATCTAAGTATTTCTGTAGTGAGATATCCTGATGTGGAAATAACGCATCACTGGCTGCATTTAACAACTTTTATACTGCTTTTATGAGGAACGCAGTATTTTTTGTTGTTTTAACAGAGATATGATCAATGGTGTGAGCCACAGTCAGTAGCTTTTTATTAAGTAAGGCTGAAGAGGAGTGGGGAATCTACCAGTAACACTGTGGAGAAAACCTTTACGTTCAACAGTAAAATCCTGTAGCTATAGTGATAATAGTGCTAGAGATGCTAAAGTAGCTGAGGGTTTGCTACCTGATCGAGCTAAAGGAGAGAAAGCAGGATATCAAATCTCTGGATGCTCACAAACAACCTGCTCAGAGGTTGGTGTCTTGTTTTTTCTGCTCCTTTGCTGCACTGACAGGTGCTGTAATTATGTTTGTGCACCATCATTACTGACACTCATTTGCTTTGAACTATCTTCTTGTAAAATAAATAAATAAATAAATATGAGAGGTCTAAAAAGCAAATAGTGAAAATAGTTTAAGGATGAATCTCTAGTGGCTTTAAAATGGCTACTGGGATGCTTCTCTGATCAGAATCTGAGTTGTCTTGTCTGTTTGGGGCCTTCTTGGACCTTGAGAAACAATCAGGAAGCCTCTCACCCCTCCACTGGCTCCATGGATGAGAACCGTCTCTCCAGCTTTAGCATGAGCTCTGCAAAAACCACAGAAAGGCAACAAAAAAATGAAACCTTTTTATAAAACACAACATAACCATAATTACCAAGGTCACAGCTCATTTCCTCTTTGACTAGAACGTTTCCTGTAGAAAAAGATAATTAAGCTGCAAAAAAATCTTGGAAAAGAATGAAACTACAAAACAGAATTTGCCCTCCAAACACATTTGTATAGTAAATCTATAGCTAAGAGGTAGCTCCTTATAATAGGATTTCAGATTTTAAGACAGAATATTGTTTCCTCAGCTGTAAATTAAAATAATGATGGTTGGCAATAGATCAGATTTCTGCAGGGTTTCACAACGATGCTGTAAATAAGGTGTCCACCAGAGGGCGCTGTTACCTAATTCAAAATAACAGCTGTAGTGTTTGTAAGATAACCTCTGTTTTACTGCCTCTTTTAGATGCCTATGGCCCCCAAAATCTCTGATATTACAGCTTTATTTACTTGAAGTTAGGAGCTTAAACTTTGTTTTTCTATTAAGAGCAAACGACTCATTAAATATTTGCAAATATAAAAATGAAAACTTGTCAAATAAGGCAAACCAGTAATAGGAAATCAATTAATGCTATTAACAAAACTGTTCTGAATTTTACTTAAATATTATATTTTGGTATTGATAAATAACAATAAAAGCAGAAAATATTGACTCAAAAAATTTCACAAGGACTGCATATCATTCATAAAAGTTGAATATTACGAAGGCCATGTTAAAATAAGAATTCTAACTAACCTTTGGGATTAACAAAGTATTTCTCAATCGAATTGAATTTTGTTAAATATGATTCATTCATGGCATTTGTTTTGTCTTGTGTAATAAAGATTTTATTTATTTATTTATGGGTTATTCAATTATAATGTCTGTAAATACTATTGTTATTAATGTTCAACATCAGTCTAGCTTGACAAAAAGTGAAAAACAACCCCGGTTGTCCCTGAACTCTGGAATTACCTTTAAGGTTTTTCCTCATCCTTCTCAATGAATACTAACATTACATTAAGATCCATGGATTACTTAAAAACATTAATGGAAGTTCAATGTGATTGTCAACCGAATGAAATGACACATCTAAAATACTAGATCTAAAAGTGTTGGTTCAGAGGGGCGTGGCAGAAAAGGAAGTAGTAGTTTTTGCATTTTAATTTACAAAAGCATTCTACATTAAATATATTTTTATCCTCATCTTCTTTGTAATTATGCACTCGTTTATGTAATAAATAACCAAATAAAAGGCAGAGGGCTGGGGTGAACAACGCTGCATCTGATCATCTTTTTTCTCCAGTTCCAAAGAAAATCCTAAAACAAAAGTCCCTACATAGAAATCTGTGTCTAGACAAAGCAGTCACCATGTGCCAGTACAGAAAATGTAATAAATGTATTATGATTGTGCAAATATATAGATACAAAATCATATGGAGATGTGAAAACACACCAATAAACTCTCAGGTTATTGGCCAGCAAGTGAACAAGAAAGCTCAGGAAAACAAGGTAATAACAATATTTAAATTTTTGGCTTTTTTCCAACACTCCACTGCTATTCAACTGTCAAAATGTACATAGATGTATTTTTTTTTTTATCATGTTCTGCAGGAGTATGAATATTCTTTCAGCTTTCTGAGTATTTGCACGCAGAATAAAAGCTGTGCAGATCTATTTAAACCCTGAATCCTCTATGTCATGGAAAGGTTTGTTCTTACTTGTGAACCAGGGCTCTGTAGGCAGTGAAGTAAGGAATGCCTATGGCTGCTCCCTGTGTGAAGTCTAAAGCATCCGGCAGCTTGTGAACACAGTCAGCCTCTGCTACAGCATAGTCTGCATAACCTCCAGACACTGTGGCGGTGGTGAAGACACGATCCCCTGCCTGGAACAAAAAAAATATAAATCAATCACCTGATGTGGGAGACTATCTCCAGACTGATTTAGCTAAAGTTCCCTGAATGATTGTTTTAAATAAAAAAAGAAAACAGAACATTTTTAAGGATTTATTTCGAATGTACTTACACCTGCTGACAGAAATAAGAAAACTTACAAAGGCCTTTGTCTTCCTCTGACTAATATGGACATATACCGAGAAAAATACTAAATTAGGACACACCTGCAATGTCCACCCTTATAATGTCTGCTTTTAAATTGTACACAAGCTTACAGTATGTGACCAATTTAAGGTTTGCAAAAGAGAAATGTGTTATTTACACAGATCATTCCAGCAAAACATCCTGATACAAAATGAGAGGTACGGAGGTGGAGGTATCATGGTTTAGAGACACTTTCCAGCATAAGAACCTGGTTACCTCTATGTTATAGAATCAAAGGATGTTTGAAGTAAATGTGTTTTGATATAAATATGGCAAAGCATGCAAGTAAAACTACCTGGGCTGAATGAATTTGGTGAAATAAAGGGTCCTGGTCCCAGGCAGAGTCTAGGTCTGGGTTTAATTAAAATGCTGTAGGGGTAACTTGAACTGGCGGAATAGGCAATAATCCCCTCCCCCATATATCTACAAGGTGAAAGTATGGAGCCGGGAAAACATTCCTCAGAGGAACAAACATGGATATATTAAGATTTTAGGGATTTTATTTCAATAAAAAAGGATAAAATGAGCTACTAGGGGAAATATGTTCAAACTGTTTTCCTTCCAGAAGACACATCTTTGTCTATAACAAAAATAATTATGTTTAAATTATATGATTTTCATTCTTTTCCCCCCAAAATATGAAAAAAAGATAGATATTGATATGTGGTAATTTCTTTAAATAAAAACAAAATTAATGCTGTGTTTGGTTTATACTGCGACCTTAACTGCGCTGACTCCTTCTCCAACAGCATCCACCACTCCTGCTACATCAGAGCCAGGCGTGTACGGCAGGGCGGGCTTCCGGGCGTACGATCCAGAGCGGATGTATGTTTCCACGGGGTTCACTCCACAAGCCTGGACTCGGATCAGTACCTACATCACAGAGATCTTAAATACGTTTTAGAAGTACCTTATCAGAGCTGGGAACCAGTTAAAAAGTATTATTCTATCTTTTTTTTTTTTTACTTTAAGCCTTAAGTGAAATTATTCAGATCCCTGCCAGACTGAAACAGAAAATGATTTTCCCTCCCATGAGAGGTTTGCTTTGCCATTAGAAAGTCATCTCTAAAAATACGCAACACAAAAGGAATATTTATTCTGAAACACAGATAGCCATCTGTTTTTGTTTACTGTTGATTAAAAAATGGCATGTCAATAATCAGTGTTACCATTATTTATGTAAAAAATCTATATCAGCATTACAGCAGCAAAACCCACAGATTATTTTTTGTTTAGTGCTGAGCTCCAGCAGGTCTGATTATCCATATCTATAGCTCCCTTCACAGATTCTCCATAGCAATCAACCCTTCAGAATAAACACGCTGAAAAGACTTTTAAACTGCCAGGAGTCTGTATATTATGGGCTTTAATTATTATTCTTACATAAGCACATAAAACTGTGATTATGACAAACAAAATCCTAATCATGTGGTTCTTTTCTATGGCCAAATTATTACTAAATTAAAACAACTTGAATCATTTTGTAATGGCTTGCCTGATTTTAAAATATTGATCATACTTGTTTAACCTTATATCCTTTACGTGTCATCCAGTGATCTCCTATTTATTCACTGGATTGCCGATAGGCTGCTAGTAGTGCAGGGTGCTGTGACGTCACCAGTCGCCATATTGGTACTCCCTAGTCAGACCATTCGCAAATGTAAAAAATGTGTCTGTTACCGGATCAACAACAATAATTTTCTCATTTTCAGGGAGGTTTAAGACTTTTGAAATAAAGATAGATTCCTCACTTTGTCACACACTAGCTGTTTCATGCCATATGTAGACTATTCCTAAAAAAATTAAAAGCAATCCACTGGACTTGGTTTCCTAGTTTGAAGACGTGTCGCTTCCCATCCAGGAAGCTTTTTCAATGTCAGGAATAGCGTTGAGTTCCAGGTTTTATACAGTCGCCCAACAAAGGCTTGTTTTGTTCGAACCAAGTCCAGTGAATTGCTTTTTGGAATGACTATGACCTGGATGGCTGAGAACCTTCACCAGCATATGTAGACTACTGTAATATTTGGTAGCAAATAGGCACATTACATTGCATATTCAGTATGACGTCCATGAAGTCTATAAATAATATAATATATTATGCAAATCTATGACAACAGAATTGATGTGTAAATGGAGCATTCTGCTTCATTCTCTCTCTATTCTCCTACTCTGCAGAATCTGTTAGTTCAATCTCTAACGTTATGCTCTGTCTGTTCCTGTTTGGCTGTGACTCCATCCTGGAGAGAAATATCAGCTGTGCTGCCGCCATCAACACTTTTGTTTATAGATGTTGGAGATTGGCCTGTTTTCCAGTGTAGTCCTGTTTCTCTGACTGTGACTGGCTGGATGTGCTCTCTTCGTCCTCTGACATGGGAGTTGGCTCGTAGCTTGTCTGCCTAGCTGTTTGTTTCCTGGACAGGACCGCCTTTTACAGCTGCTTTTGTATTTCTGCTTCTGTCTCCTTAAACCTCAGTCGGTCTCAGCAGATGGCCGCTCACTCTGAGCCTGGTTCTTCTGGAGGTTTCTTCCTGTTTAAAGGGTGTTTTTTTCTCTCCACTGTCGCTACAAGCATGCTTAGTGTGAGGGATTGCATTCAGGTCAATGCAATCAAGTGGTTTTCCTGAAATAGAAAACTCTTAATCAATCTGACTGGATGATCTGGTGAATTGTAAAGTTCCTTGAGATGGCATGTTTTGTGAATTGGCGCTATAGAAATAAACTGAATTGAATAATAGTGTAGTCTGATATTAAGAATATTACACACACACACTAGCTGATGATGTGCCAAAAGGGCTAAATTGATGATGTACATGTATTGATTACATAGTTATGGTAATTTCATTACTTTAAATGGCATTTTTAAAGTGCGACTCAGTGACAGTGGGGAGTACCAAGATGGCGGCAGGTGACTTTAATTGCAAAAAAAAAAAAAGGTCTAAAGCTGCAAAATCCTTCGCATGAACTCTGACCTCAGCCTTGCAGAATGATAGTTAAATCAGGTCACAAATATTACTTAATAACCTCCAAGTACAGAAGACTTTATGAAAGCAAAAAAGATATCGGTGTAGTGAGATCAATGTGTTGTTTAGATGTTTTTTTACAAAGAGGAAAGCAAAGATTAACACTCATGTCAGAGCTGTTAATGATTGAGAGCTCAGGCTGCAGCTCCTCTGTAGTTGTTATTGTGGCTAAACTTCCTCTCCTCCACCTGCGAACTGTGACCCGCAGAGCCTCGCGTGCAGCGGGGTGTCTCACCTGTCTGTGTCCGGCCTGAGGGACAGGGACATCCGAGCACAGCCTGAGGACAGACGGAGCACCAAACTCACTCACTCTGATGGTTCTCATTAGTCTGATGCCTGACATTTCTGCACTTTAAACTGGAGGTTGTTCTTCTTCACCAAAATATTTCAGATTTGGCACAACAGCGCCCTCTACTGTACGTTTGGTATATTGGTTCGCGATTATTTAAATTCTAGTCTGCTGTATATTGTTGAAGCTTTTCTAGTTAATGTTACCAAATACAAAAGAAAATACACAATCTTTAAAAAAAAAAAATCACATTTGATACTTCATTCTTGTTTATTTTTATTCAGAACTCAAACAGACCTTATAACCATCACTGTTCCCAACAACCTCAGTAAGTTGTTACATTCATGCTGATTTTGCACAGTTTCTATCTTAGTCAGTTAAATAGCATGCTGCTGTCATTTTGCACATCTCTGATGTTGCTGCTATTTTCAAATATCCATTACTGTAAAAATGTCCATCGCTCTATATTGGTTATTTATTCTCCAGGTGCACAGTATTTACATTGTTAAAACACTTTACAGTACAGTACTTTATTTGTTTATTTTTTTTATTCTTCTACACTTTTCTAAGGTCCACATTTGTGTGACCAGTTTTTCTATAATCTTTTTGCTGCTGTAACACCAGAATTTCCTCATTGTGGGACAATAAATGGATTTTCTATTCTATTATATTCTAATAAAGTCAAAGCAGAGGGACAGCAATATTTCACAATGTCAGCACATACAGGAAAAAGTCTGTGAACATGTCTGCTTAATGTCTCTAGAGATCAATGAGGATTCCAGGTCCTCTTTTATGCCCTGGCCATAAACAAGACTCACCTTTGCTATTGTCATGTGTGTGTAGGCGTGTGCACAGTCCAGCATTATTGTTATAACTTAAACTGGATGCTCTTTTATTTCACATTTTCAACAGTAACAAAAAGACGTGTCTGAATTATTCATAGGTTTGTGTTTGGTGATTGAAAAACCAGAATGTTTCTCATTGAGGATTGTTTTGTAAAAAGAATGTTACTGTATGTGCAACATGGCAGTGCAAAAAAAAAGGAAAAATACACATTAATCAGCCACTGATATCCTACTTAAAATAATGAGAGAGGTCTGTAATGTTCTTACATTCATAGATAAATTTCAACTATGAGAGACAAAATGAGGAGAAAAAAAATCCAGGAAATCACATTGTAGGATTTTTAAAGAATTGATTTGTAAATTATGGTGGAAAATTTACCTACCTCATATACCTACTAAAGAAATAACATAACAGTGTTTTGTCACTGGATATTTTTACTTACGTCTATATATTATATGTGCACTAGTCGTTAAAATGGATTTAATCATTTAAGAATCAAATTAGGGGTAATTACAGTTTATTTCAAGCTCAGATCGATGATTTCGTGGATTGAATAATTTTGCCTTACACCATGACGTCACTTCCCTTTACGTAGGCCTGATATATAAGTAACCGGAAGCGTTCTAAATCGCCGTTAACAGTCAGCTCTACCCATCCACATGAGTGCAGAGCGGGGAAACTTGTCCTGACCGGGAGGGGTGAGATGCGGAACCAGGTTACAGAGAGAAAAGTGACCGCGGCTGCTCGGGTTTCCTAACAGGAGGGGATGTATATTATCAGGCTATAACATGCTCTATAACTCGATGGTTTAACGTGTGCCTGGGTTTGTTAGAAATGGCAACAAAGTGCAGGTTTTTGCTTCAGAGGGTCCTAACAGGCTTCAGAGCCCACACTGTGTATAAACATGCCTCATGTTGGGGATCCCTGATGATCAGAGGACCAGTCAGACAGCTGAGCAGCTCCAACAGACTCTCCATGCCCCCCTCTGCCACTTCAGGTACCTCAGTAAATGGCACAATCTATCTACGGTTAAAGATGGCAAATTATAGAGCAGGAAATATTGGAATAATGACATTCAGGGGCGCTGCCAAGAATTCTGGGGCCCCATGTAAAACATTGATATTGGGCCCCAGCCAAAAAAAAAAAAAAGTGTAAGCTTTTAAACTGCTGTAAACATGCATTGATTTGTTTCATTCATTATCACAATTTAAAATGATGCGAACAAACTGCAGGTGACAGATGAGGAGAACTGATGCGATGCAGGACTGGTCAATACATTCATGTTTTGTTTTGCTGTTTACTGCTTAAAAATGAGGAAGAACACAAAAATTATTTATTTTCACTATTTTCTTTTTATATTTCAAAAGACTAGCAGGTAAAATCTTTTCTATTTCTTTTGGGGCCCCCCTCACTCAAGGTCCATTAGAATCTTGCCCCGATACGGCGCCCCTGACGGCATTTGTACTGTGTCTGGATTTTTGATTGGTTGGTGCATTTACAGGACTTACTGAAAGTATAGTCATTTTCTGCTGTGGTGTCTGCAGGTCCCAGCAGCCTGTCTTTCAGGACTCACACCTGTGGAGAGCTGAGGTCACATCATGTGGGAGAGAAGGTCACGCTGTGTGGCTGGGTCCAGTATCTCAGGTTAGCTTTTTGTCATTAATATGTAGTCAAATACTCTTTTAAACAGTTTAAGTATTCAGGACATAAGGTTACATTTATGTTTTTATGAGATTGTGTGATATAGATTAACTTGAATTCAGCTCTGAGGTTAATGAATGATAAATAATGATTTTGAATATTCTTTGACATATATAAACCAAAAATGTTTTGCTCATTTGTATTCAGCTTCTCTAATAATATTGACATCATGTTTCAGCTTTGCACATCTATGGATTTTCCATCATCCTCAAACACTTATTGGTCAGAAATGTTTTTTGTTAGTTTTTTTTCAAATCTTGTAAGAGATTCTTTGCCCATTCGGTTGTACCAATTTGATTTTTTTTATCTAAACTATTGTACCGTCTCTCTGCCTGCATGTTTAGGTGTCCTGGTGAAAATTGCACCTCTGCATCAGCTTCGAGTCGTTTGCTACATCTAACAGCTTTTTTTCCTTCCAGGATTCCCCTGTTTGGGTTGCACCATCAGTTACCCCATATCATAATGCTGCTACCATCATGCTTCACCACTGTGATTCAGAGTGATGCACTTGCTTTCTACCAATCATTATGCACAAAAGTACATTTTTCATTTCGTCTGACCAGAACACCACAACCTGCAATTCTTCCAGCTTTATTTAAGACTTTCTTCTTAGTTGTCCTGTTGTGTGTTCCTCCTCCCTAAGCTGTTGAACTCTGCAGCTTATCCTGGTCCTCTTCTCCTATGTCTGATTAACGCTCTTTCCACTTGAGGTGGATAGCCATGTCTGTATTTGCAGCTCCTCTCATTGTCAGAGAAAACTGAACAGTTCATCATGTTTAAACCTCAGTATGTCGTCTTACATCCTAACCCTGCTAACTAACCTGTTTCTAGAACTTTCTCCATGAGCTGTTCAGCTCTGCTTCTTGGTCTTTGTTGTGCTGTTTGTTCTCTAATGTTGTCTAGCAAACACCTGACGCTACCACAAAGAAATTAAGATTAAATTATAGACAGGTTGACTTTTGCGTGACTTCTAATGATCATTTGTTTTGCTGGATCTTATTCAAAGGTTTTAGAGTAAAGGAGGGTGAATGCAAATATCCTTCATTATCTCAGGAGTTTTTGTCGATAGTTGCTGGTTGTAAAATGTGATCCGACTTGCTACCTGGCTAGTTGGTGTTGTTTTACCAACAATGTGGAGAAGGTATTTTGTAAAATATCTAAGATTGTGGGGACTTACAGTTATATATGGGGACATTCATCTGGTCCCCATATGGTAAAGTTGCGCTCTTTGAGTTGGGGTTAGGACTAAGGTATGAATTCAGTTTAGGTTAGGATTAGGATTACGTATATGTTGGTAATAGGGTAAGGGTCAGGCCATATAAAATGAATGCAACTCAATGAAATGTCCCAATATGTCATGAAAACAAAGCTGTCTGCTTAGGTGTTTGTGTGTTTGTTTGTTTTTTGTTTGTTTCATAATGTCATCCTTGTAACGAAATCAGACCTTTTTTTAAGGTTCCTTCCTTTTTAATTTGTTTATATATCAACAATATGTTTACTGTAAAAAAGCCAAAACAGAAAATTCCTTGGCAAATTCTACCCAAACGTTTACCAAAAGCCATTTTCAGCTTTCAAATGAATCTTGTTTCTTTCTGCTTACAATAGACAAGACCTGTTTGTCATCCTGCGAGACTTTAACGGTTTGACACAAGTTCTGATTCCTCAGGAAGAGGTAAGAAATGACCTTACAGATACTAGAACTGTAGGAAACTGCTGATGGCACTGGAAAATGAAAATTTTGAATTTAACAGAACAAGAAAGATCACAGCTTAAATTGAATCTTCTTTTGGTTTTAGTCTACGACCAGCATCAAAGCGATCCTGTCAGGTCTGTCAGTGGAATCAGTCATCAAGGTCACAGGAACAGTCAGAAAGAGACCAGCCGGGCAGGAGAACAAGGTTTGAGTGTTTTTAATGTTATTATCTCTATTAAACACATTATTGTAATATATTTATAGGGAGATCCAATACTTTTAAACCTAAGTTGAATGTTTTTGAATAAAACCTTCATTAAATAGTGCTCCATGGTTATGATTTTCATGTCCAAATAAGGCAGTTTTTATTAATCAGCTCTTTCCAGATAGATTTAGAAATTAACAGATTATTTCAGTCCTAACTACCAGTTATGGGTAAAAAATAAAATGTGTAGATGACGTGAAGAGGCCCCTGCTGGTTTACATCTGTGATTTCCAGCTCAAGCTTAAGAGAACATTGTTAGTTTAATTCAAAGTAACAAATGGCTGCAGGAGTGTATGCAACATCAGCAGGTTTTTTAAAAATAATAAATTCAATGTAAAACTGTATCATAAAATAGAGGAAACTTAAGAAATCAGCCTGTTTTCAGATCGATGGTGAGTCTTCTAATCATGCTGCGTTCTCTCCAGAACATGCCAACAGGAGATATAGAGGTCCTGGCAGAAAATGTGGAAGTTTTCAACATGTGCCGGAAGCTGCCTTTTGAGATAAAGGACTTTGTCAAAGTAAGAGGCTGGTGTTAAAGTTGTGTTCACTAATAAGTAGAAATAACATTGATAA